CTGCATTCTGGAGCAGTTGTAGTCGTGCAATGGAGGTCTGACTGATACCAAACAGGAGTGAATTGCAGTAATCAAGCCTAGATGTAATGAATGCATGTATTACTGTCTCCAGGTTCTTTTTGGACAATATGGGCTTCAGTTTAGACAGCCGCCTCAGTTGGAAGAAGCATGATTTAACAATCATGTTTACATGATTGTTAAGTTTCAGGGAAAGGTCCATTATCACGCCCAGATTAGTGACTCTTTGTTTTTCTGACAGGGTTAGAGCGGAAAGGTCGATGCAGTGGTTTGTGATCATGTCGTTGGGAGGGAACAACATGACTTCAGACTTCTTTTCATTGAAACTTAAGAAGTTTAGAGCCATCCAGTCCCTGATGTCAGCCAGGCAGTTGAGCAGAGGTTGAATAGAGCATGTACCATTGTGTCTTAGGGGGAAGTAAATTTGACAGTCATCGGCATAGAAGTGGAAGGGCATGTTGTGTTTCCGGAAAATAGCACCAAGCGGCAGCAGGTATAAAGAGAATAGGAGGGGACCCAGTATGGACCCCTGCGGAACCCCCCATTTAAGCTCTGCCTCTGCGGAACTAAAATCCTTGATGGAGACACAAAAGGATCTGTCAGTGAGGTAAGATCTGAACCAATTGAGGGCTGATCCTGTGACGCCCACCCACTGCTCCAACCTAGCAATGAGGATCTCATGGTCGATGGCGTCAAAGGCGGCTGTGAGGTCCAACAGGACAAGCAGCACAGAATCACTAGTATCTGTAAATCTGAAGATGTCGTTAAAGACCTTCAGCAGGGCAGTTTCAGTGCTGTGGAGAGGTTTAAAGCCAGATTGGAAAAGCTCTAAGATGGCGTGATCCTCCAGGAAGCACTTCAACTGGGACTCAACTATTTTCTCCAGTACTTTAGAAACAAATGGGAGTTTGGAGACAGGCCGGTAGTTGGAAACAACTGAGGGGTCAAGGTTTGTTTTTTTCAGGAGAGGCTGAACAGCAGCATGTTTAAAGGATTTTGGCACCCCGCCAGTCGATAAACTACTGTTTACTATGGCAAGAATGGACGGACCTATAGTAGGAAAAACCTCCTTTAGTAGTCGAGGGAGGACCACATCAAAGGGGGAACCAGAAGTTTGCAAGCTGCACATGACCTGCTCTAGAGAAGATAGAGTGATGGGTTCAAAATGGTCAAAAGGAGCTACAGATTGAGGTGGGATGGATGGGTCATGAGTTGGAGGGGAAATGAGAGCCCTGGTGGTCGCAATTTTTTCCACAAGGAAATGTAGGAAGTTGTCGTACAGCTCAGTCGAGGCTTCCAGAGGTGATGGTTCAGTGAGGTGGAGAACAGAGTTTAGGGTGGAGAAGAGGACACGTGGGTTGTGAGAGTTTGAGATAATTATATCAGAGAAGAATTTTGATTTAGCAGCTTTTACTGTTTTCTAATAACAGCGCCAAGTCTCTTTAAGTATCTGGAAAGAGACCTGCAGCCTGTCTTTCCTCCACTTTCGTTCCGCCCTCCTACATTGCTGCCTAATGGCCATGGTGACGTCACTCAGCCAAGGTTCTTCTCTGAGTTTTGATTTTTTGGTTTTAACAGGTGTAACATGATCCATAGTCTTTAAGCAGACAGAGTTGAACTGGGATGTCAGCTCCTCAGTGGTGGCGAGAAACACTGGGGGGTGAATGATCATTTCAGAGTTATAAACATCTGTGAAACGTGCGGCAGTGAAGTGGTTAATGGTCCGGGTGCGACATGCAGGAATGCACGGCTTAGGAGTTAGATGGGGGAGGGTGAACTCAAACTGGACTGGCATGTGGTCTGAAAAAACATTATCACCAATAACAAGATTATTAATAGTCATATCATGAGTTAAAACAAGGTCCAGTGTATGTCCACACTCTTGGGTGGGACCGTTTACATGCTGCGTTAAATTAAATGAGTCCAATAAATCTAAAAAGTCCTTAACCAAGGGCTTCTCAGGACAGCACACGTGCAAATTAAAGTCCCCAATAATGAAAAGATGCTCATATTTTGGTGTGATTTCAGCCAAGAAGTCAGAAAACTCATTTATGAAACCCTTAGATTGAGGTGGACGGTAGACAAGTGCAAATAAAGTCTGAGGTGAATGTCCGAGTTCAAAGATGCTCAGCTCAAAGCTGGCACGGGAAACTGGGATGGGCAGTTGTTTACAGTCAAAAGTTGATTTGAATATTGTTAATAATCCACCACCGCGCCGGCCTGATGGCCGTGGGGCGTTAAAACACAGACTGTTCGGTGGCAGTTAATCCGTCAAGGCGCTGGACTCACCCGGAGACATCCAAGTCTCTGTGATGCACAGAAAGTCCAGATTGTGCTCTTGAAAGTAATCCCTGAGGATAAAAGTTTTGTTGGTAACAGATCTTGCGTTGACCAAACACATCTGGATATTGTCCAAAGTAGAGCCAGCAGCGGTGGAGTTAGCAACGGTGGCGTTAGCGCGCGCTAATGGCCGCAGGTTTTCAATAACATCCCCTCCAGGTCAGTCTGGGCTGCGCAATGGCTGACAACTCCCGCTGGTTACCTGGTCCGGGCATGCGGGAAGCTGGAGACCATGACCGCCAGCTGGAGAGGAAGATGCAGCGCGCAGAGCTTTCAGCTTCACCAGCTGACCAGCACGTTTTCCCCGGCGTCTGAAGCGATATCTCTGGGCAGGGAGGTGAGTGGTGCAGCGAAGGTAAGCTGGCACGTCCGCCAGCAGGGGGGGGGGTCCAGAGGTACGCTGATAATGGTCCAGATAAGCGACATAAATGCCAGAAAAACGAAGATCCAAAAGTTGTTGTCTGTCATACACCAGCAGAGAGTTGATGTCAATGATGAGGAATACAAAAAACAAAAATAATCCGAACACCATCAGCAGAGGTGGATTGCAAGCCATGTACACGGGCGCCATCTTACCGGAAGCTGATGATCCTTCAAAGATGATCAAATGATCAAAGGATGATCCTGTGTTAGAAGACGGATAATGTCTGACTTGATTTAAAGCCCAAATAGTTTTTGCTTGAGAATGTGGGCGTGGCGGCATGGCAAATTTAGAAGTGACGCCATTGCAATACGTTTGGCTCTAAATTGCACAGATTTCAGCCGAGGTGCAACAAAATCACTATGATCGACCATGATCCGCCCCTTGAACAGGTATCCATGATAAGTGGCCAATAGCCTCCACAGCGCCACCTACATTTTTCCTACAGTTATAGCTCAGTGATACAACATCCAATTTGCACCAGATTTATTGTGCATCATCAGTGAGGACTTTTAGACACATTGATATTGTGGTTTAACATATGACTGTAGTGCGCCCCCTAGATTATTCCAACTATTATATCTCAATGATATATTATCCAATCTGCACCAGATTTTTTTGGGCGTGATCAGTGAGCACTTCTATATACATTTATGTTGTTATTTAACATTTG